AAACAAAATATTGATCTTGTTGAAGTATAAACATATCCAAAAATGAAGAATTTTATATCTTTCAGTTATCGTTATTCCTTTGGATTTCCTATAAAATTCAGTTTCATTAACTTTATTTTTCGTGTCTAGTTTTTGTATTGATTTCCATTTGGTACTAAAAATTACCTTGACATCTTGTTTCTCCGGCTCACTCATTTCAATTTGTCATACGAACATATTATGTAACCTCAAAAAATAAACAGAGAAGATAAGAAGACTTTAGTTTCTGAAACAACTTAGAAAATACTCCATTAGACAAGTGATTTGAGAAATGGATCTATGACGCGTAAGTCTTGACACAATATTCACTTATTTTTCAGCTACTACAACAACTGATAAGAGTCAAAAGCAGTTAGTTACAACTAGAAAGCAGTTTTTGAAACTGCGATTTTTTTTACTAATGCTGGTTCCATTGAATCTAACTGTGTAATATAAACGCATAGGTGAAAGTTTGCTTGTTGTACTATTTTATTTTGTACAGAGTTCATTTCTCTACAATAAAGTTGAATTGAAACTGTTCCAAGATATAAACTCGTAAATTAAGAACTGCATCAAAACCTGTTATTTTGTTTTGCACAGATACAATTTGGACATTGTAACAAAATTTATTGATAGTTGTCCAATCTTTTACTTTACAAGAGAAATTCGAACACATTTGAGAATTTAAAAAATACTACCCCGAACCAGTTGTGTTTATATGTAAGTTCTCAAAAAGCTAAATCAATTGAACCCAACTTTTTGATCATTTGTACAAATTAAAACTTTTCAGATGAAAGGCTTTCATAAAAAGAAATCGTCTGTGTAACATTTAAGGAATTATTTATATCTTCATTATAATAATTACAAAATGTTCTTATTTTTTTATAAAAAATCTTGACATTTGTTTATATTTCATTAAAAAAAATATTAATATTTCAAAATTTTCTCTTATTATTGATCTTACTTGTTCGATATATTCAAGATTAATCATAATACCAAATCGTTTTTGTGTTAACGTTCTTCTACCAACATATAATATTTGATTGTTTAGTTGATTATAATGAACAAGATCATCAGTTTCAAATATAAATTTTTTTTCTGATGATAAATGTCCAATTTGTGTCCAACGTGTTTGACTTTCTATACTATTAATAAATTAAATTCAAGTTCTATTTTTAACAAAACAAATAAAACTATACCTAATATGATTTGAAAATAATCAGTTTTTGATTGATTATCAATATATGGTTTTAATATCAATGATGTTTCATTAAGTGCTGTACCCAATGGAATACCATCTTGTTTTCTATACTATCAATTAAAAATCTTTTTTTTTTTGACAAAAAATAAAAATTTTACTCAAGATCACTTTCATTCAATATATAAAACGACGCCCAACAAGACATTTCAGTCAAACCATATATATTTACTACACGTTTATTTTGTCTAATCATTTGTTGAATGGTTATATTTGATATATGTGGAAATTTTTCACCTCCAAGTATCAATGTTTTTAATTGCAACATATTACAATGTGTATTTATTTGACGAAAAAAACTAGGTGTCATCTAAAAATGATTCGATTGCATCATACAAAAACATGCAAACAAGAAAAAGGAATACTTGAGCAATTGTACAAAGACTTTTATCGAAAATAGATGATATTAATATTGGATTTTGACGAATATCTTTTGATAAAATACAAAGACAAGCACCACAATGAACGGCAACAAATATATCAACTAATGATGGATCAAAAGTTAAAGGTGTCGAACGAAATAAACAATCATTTGATGTTACATTAAAAATTGTTCTTTAAATATTTATATTCAAATTTATAATTTATTTAAAGATAATAAACTTACTTTAATTCATCTAGATTCGGCAAGATACATGCATGAGACACAAATATCAATTTAGGAATACCTGTTGAACCTATCCGAAATAAATCATTCAATTTAAATATAAATCAGGTTAAAACATCATAGTCATGATTTCATTGTATTTAACAAAGATGGAATAGATTCGCTTACAAAACAAAAACCATGAACCGATCTTATCTCTAATACTTAATTGCTATAAAAAAATCATATAAAGATAGCTGAAATTTCGTCCATGAAACGTTCATCAATGGCGAGTTTTTCAGGGAATGTTTTGAGAAAAGTAGGGTGAAGTTTCGCAAGCTGTCACGAAATAATATTAATATAGAATATATGTGAAGGTCTGAAGTTAATATTATTAGAATAAATACATATCAAAGCTTATACTCAAGATATGTTCGAATATGATTCAGCCATATTTTTAATAAGAAAAAGTCGGGATTAATATGAAAAAGACAAACGGAGAATAAATTAATTTTCATCACGCGATGAATCTGATTTGTTAGATTCATTGACAATGTTGTTCCTTAAGCAATCTGTGATCATAATGGAGCAGTGCGATCTGTGATAGACTTTAATAGAACAATTTTGATCTTAAATGATATATAAAATTTATAGCTACGACATAAACTATCAATGTAGTTAACAGGAATTCTTAATCCATATGTAATTCACATTGATCTAGACGAAATTCAGAAACTTCTCATCTACACACTGATTTTTAATAATCCTGTACGTTCTATTTGATCATGTTTGACTTATTCGTAGAGAATATCGATTTGTAGTAATAAAGCATTGAATTAAGACAGTTCTCAAATATTGTGTGTAATCTTCAATAAGCTATTATGTCGTTAAAAATGAAATTTCTTTTCGTCATTCATTGCCTTGGATTTATGCATCGGCAAACGGTGTCTTTTACAAATAATTAAAACAATTTTTTATTTTATTGAGTTACACAAATTTATTATTCTAATGATTGTCAGATTAATTTAGACTACTACGGACATCATCTATTGGCAGTAAGTAATTTTTCTAATAATTTTTTGATTACAGATATGAAAGTAATATTTTTCATGATAATTTTAGTCATCTTTTTGATTGACTCATTGACAATAACAGGAAAAATAGTTTTCTATAATAATTTATTTTAATATATACGATCTTCATGCTAGAAACTTTATTAGAACTATCAGTCAGTCAAAAAATACTCTACGATTGTTTTGTAAAGTATTTCTTATCGATAGAATATATAAAAACTCTGCCGATTTTGTAATGACCTTTCATCTGTGCGAGACTTTAACAATAGGAATAGATAATTTCGAATCGAAATCAGAAACAATTATTCTATATTATAAAAATAAGATGAAGACTAATGATAGTGACATGATCTCAAAAATGAAAAACACTAATTTCAATCTAAAAATACATGCATTTGCTAGTGTTTAACTATATATACTTCCACGAAATAGTTCATTTTTCACAAAAAATACTCCATGATAAGTAGATTTTCAGCTTTATATAGATAACATAATAGCATAAATACGAAGAAATGCAACTTTTTATGTCATTCAAGATTATTGGATCGTTTAGTGTCTCTGGAACGAAATGACTTATCTCAAATTAAACCGTATCAGTGTCAAAATCAGCATCTGTATTAGCTATTCCCATGATTGTCTCAATATTAATTGTATTAGATTACTGCCAGCGGATAAAGGATTAATTTCTTGCATTCCTGATACTCTATCGAATGTTAGTTGACCTACAGTTAAGACTGTGTTTTCATAAATAATTTTACTCTGAAGAACAATTTGACTTGTGCGTACTTTTTATTGATACAAACGTTTGAAATCGTTTTTTGTTCAGTTTTTAGAACTATTCTAGTAGATTTATTTTATAATAATCGTTAAAATGCTAATCTTAGAGACACTATATTTCATTTCAATCAATGCTGAAATATGGAAGATGGATTGTTTTTTTGTAGTAAAATCTTTCTTATAAATTCATAATAGAAAGTTTATATAAGACTCAACTTGATATGATTCCTTAGTAAAAAAAATAGTTTAATTCAACAGAAACATGAAAAATAATAGGATCACTGTGTCAAAAATCTCCTTGAATAAATCTATAAAAATCTGCTTTTTTTTCTGACGAAAAGGTTTTGTTGCTTTAATTTTTTAAGAATTCTAATGGAAATGTTCTTTACCTGATGAAGCAACTACATAAACAATATCTTTATAATAACATTCAGTACTGATTTTAAAAAAATCAATTTGTTGATCAAGTAAAACAATAGATGACACAATAGCACAATCGATTACTTCATCATAAATTTTAGCCTAAATAATCTCATAAAATAAATTACAAAATGATTTACAAAAAAAAAAAGAAGAATTTTACTTTATTTTGATGTTGACAAATAAATAAAGATGGTTTAAGTTCCTTGATATAATTTTTTAGTATATTTTCAGACCAATCAGAATCACAAACAAAAAACGAATTATTTGATTGAAGTATTCTAATATAGGAAATTCTTTTTAAAAATTATTACGTAGAAAAATTTAATCAAACCCTAATATCAATGGAATCGATAAAAATGTTTCTTCACTATCAATTACAATTAATTGTTCATGAATATTTAAATTTAAAATTTGTTTATAAACCTAAAAATGACAAATCGTATTAAATAAATCCAAATGAATTTATTTACTTCATTTGTAAGTATTGATATTTCCAAATGTGTTAAAATTCTCAATGATTCTAATAGATTATCATGAAAATATTTGATAGCAATGTTTTGATTCATTTGTGATGGCCATCCATCACTTGAAATCCATTCCCAAACTGTCTTGAAAGTCATTAGAATTCAAGTATTCTTCTTCAAAGCATAAATCAGTCTAGTTTTTCATGATGGTAGCGCTTTTCGTTGATTAGCTAGCTTCTTTTATCCAATAAACTGATCCTGAACGATCGAATAGTAAACAAAATCGATTGTCATTTCTTTTTCTCTGAAGAACTTGTCATAATTGGTATCTCATCCGCAATGTGTTGTAAATATAGAAGTTTCTCTACCATGCATTCCTCTTCTGTTCTATATCAACTATCATGGCTCAATTATGTGGTAAGCAATGTGATCTGTTCCGGAATGAAAACAAAAAAACCTTTTTCTATGTATGAAAAGCAGTAACATATAAAAAAGATTTCGTTAAACGTTCAACGTTTAAAAAGAACAATAATATTCATATCGATTTATTAAAAAAGAAATTCTACAACATTCAGTCGAAGAATAAAAAAAGCAAATTATTGAATAGAAAATAGTTCAATTGTCTATCAAAGGTCATTAATTATTTAAATAAAAAGTCACATCATTGTTAATAGTAACCATATTCTATATAATTTTATTTTGTTTCTTAGCTATTGACCATACTGATCGTTTATCTAATGAAAATCTCGTTCGACGTATTATTTTAAGTAAAAAAAATATACTAAATGATTTTATAAGAATTACAATTCTTGTAACTTATTATAATATTGTCTATTCAATATTCATGCAGTTTTTATTCCAGATATTCAATCAAATAGCCTTGGTGATTTGTAAGTTGCTTTTCATTATTGATTCGACAAATCTCGATATAATTTGCAGCATTGTTTACCAGTTTTTAATGACCTTCGATGACAATAAGTAGACATATTCTATTCTTCTTTGTCGACAAAAATATGTGTAGAAAGAGCAAAAACGACTGAGATCATTTACAAATAATAATTCTTCTCGCGTCAGCAAGTCAATTTTTGTTCTTGTAGTTGCAGAGTGCAACATGCGCATCTTACAACCATCATTCTGTTATTAGTTACTTTTCCAGCACTTATGTTCTGCCACTTTTTTGACAGTTCTCAACACGCACACATAACAGAAAGAGAGAAAAAAAAATCTATATTGACAAGTTAGTTACAAGAATGGATCGAGCAAATCGTATAGCAATAAAAGAATATTTGTAAATATATAAGAATTTAGTGACATTTATGAAACAATGCAAGAGAAAATCGACAATATTGTATTCTGTGTAAAAAAATAAAAAGAAAGAATCAATCGTCTTGCGTAGGTCTCGAGAGATCGTCAAGTATTGTCATATAGGATAAACCGATTGGATATAAAAAAGAAAGAAGAAAAAAAGAATAGATCATGATTATCATGAAAAGGAAGTAGAAAAACTACTACTACGACTACTACTATACCTTGTTCGTTTTATTGCATTCTATAATAAAAGACATGAAGAAGAGAGAGAGACAGAGAGAGAGAGAGAGAACAAGAAAATTTCTTGCTGACAGCAAAGTAAGGATTATTTATTATCATTATATCTGAAAGTAGAGATATTGTTTTCAATGATTATTAAAGTCATGAATATATAGAAAATTTGTTGTTTTAGCATTTATTCCAAATACTAATAACAGTGACGAAAGACAAATCGGTTTGTGTGCATACGAAGGATATTTTGTCATGAAAATTAGATTATTGGTAGAATGCAATGATAGAGCAGCGTTCTTCTTTCTTTTTTCCTTCGTCTTTTCCTCTTGGTGCCACATCGAGGATTTTATGGAAGAAGCCAAGGTTGCCTCTGACGATGTGTTTACGATTACATGTATATATATAGATTTTTCTTCGATTCTTTTAGAAATGGTCAACTATATAGAGCCGATCGAATTGTATATGTAAAAGCTATTTATTTGAATTCATACGATTTGACACGTGTTAATTGCGCTCATCAACGACTCGTTGATTCAAGACAAGTATCAATTGAACTTGTCATTATTACAACAACTTTCACCATTGCTTATTCTCATGCGGCTGTGTCATCGTCGAATAATAATGGACACAGCTGTATTCAGATATTGTCGGCGCTCGTTAACGTCGACATGGTGGTAAGATAACGATTAATAGATATATATATACAAAAATTAGGACAATATATCTTTATACTCGGGCTATATGAATTGTTTAGCTAAACACATTGTGGACACAAATTGAAGTGGTCGATTTAATCAACGACGGGTCCGGACTTGGCTTTGGCATAAGTGGTAATCAATCAACAGGTGTTGTTGTCAAAGCAATCGTACCTGGTTCGATTGCCGATAAGGTAATATCTATGTAATATTATTGTTTTATATTTTTCTAAGTTCTCTTTCTTATGCTTCCAACTGCTTTTCAAATCAATGGAACAAAAGACAACAGAGGGAGGAAAAAAAAAACATAGATAGAGAAGAAAAAAAAACAGAAAGAAAATAAATTTGCCTAATGAATGATAGCTTGTAGTATGTATATATCTTTCTAGAAAAAGAACAGAAAAACGATGAGGGGAAAATGGCAAAAATGAGAAAAACAAGCAGTCTTTTGCTTTTACATACAAGCAAATCTTATGAGCTATATGTCAAAGAATTCTTAATATCCGTTACGATTTTTTTTTTCTCTATTGTTATTTAGGATGGTCGTATACATACGGGTGATCATTTATTTCAAATAAATCATGTTTATGTACGTGGTATGAATTCGGAACAAGTAGCTGGTATACTTCGACAATGCTCTGAACAAGTTCGTCTTGTTGTTGCACGAAATGTACGTGAACCAACAACTGCAATAAATACTACGCCATCATTATCTCAAAATCCTTCATTAATATCAGAAAACTTTATTCGTACAAGAAATTCATCATCAATGATTATGGATAATGATGGAATCATTAATAATTCACAAAATAAAATTCTTCTTCGTACTGAACGTTTACTTGAGAGCAATCATAATTTAGAAAAAATTCTCAATAATCTTGTTGATCAGGTTCGTTTTGTTTTTGTTTTTGTTTTTCTTATTGATATGATTTAAAAAAAAAAAAACAAAATTGATTATCAAAAACATGAAAACGTTTGCATGTTATGTTTTTTCTCACAATAGTATATATAAATATATTTCTTTCGTTTTTATTATTCTTTCCGTTTTTTTTTTCATTCATCCTTCAAATCCCTTGAGCACTGTCTTCTTTTCACTCTTCATCATTCTCTACTCAAGAGTCGTTACATAGAACACAAGCATGACAGGTTTCTTTAGTAGTCAACGTATTAGAAAAAGTCTGAGCGAAGGCGAGAAAAAAAAATAAGCATTTATATGGCAAATATGTGCTTTCTATGTCGTCGATTCCCTTTAAGAGATAACAACAGTGTCAGTCGATTGTCGATTGTTAATCTTGGGAATTTTTTGTCTTTTTTTTTGCTTTCTTTGGAATCTTAGGCTAGAAATCATTGAGTAGATAAGAAGCTATTCGTTTGCCTTCTTCTTTACATAAATGCCATTATTTGATTGCATCAATATATTTAGTGCCAATATGAAGATGGAACAGAAGTATTGGATGTTACACTTGAAAAAGGCGACGATGGCTTAGGTATAACTGTTGCTGGTTATGTCAGTTCTGATTCAACAAATGATGGTAAATATTATAGTTATTGTTTTCTTAAGAAGAATTACGATTAATAATAGATGTTTTGAAAAATGATTTATAAATTATGTTATGAATGGAGATTTGATTAAGTGACAAAGATTTGTTCTATACTTAAGGAAGACTTTAATGTGTGTATACTTCCTTTTATAGTAGTGCTGTAAACCAATTATATGAATTATACGTTGAACTGATTGTCCCGAGTTGAATGGGTTTTCTTATAATACTAACATAAATTTTCATGTGTTTAGAATGTATATATTTATTTTTTGAAAAATTACGAATAGTCTAGATTTAAAATACAAGAAAAAAAAAAGAGTAATGTCAGTCTTTTGATCAAATAGATGTTTTCAGGAATATTTGTTTTTGTTGGAGTCTAATTAATAAAATTCGATTAAAATGTTTTATAGACTATCAAAAAAAAAAGGTACTTTTGAAAATTCGGTTAAATCCAATAAGTTCTGATAGATCATTTCCAATACATCAATTTGTAGACGATACAATTATGTCTGAAAACTCTGTATTTTGACTTTTCTTTCTAATATTACAACTGTCAAATCCTCATTATAAATACATGCCAAAAGTCAATTAATAAATATCTATATAAATTTAGCATGTCACGAAGAATTTTTATATATTATTCATAGAAAAATATTAAATTGTCAGTATTTATCTGTCATTTGATTAATTAAAAAAATTGGTGTTGTTTATAAGAAAATAACTCCAGATGGAACTAATCAATCTTGTGTTCCTATCATTTATCATTATTACATATCTGTCTTTACATTATAAACATATAATGATTTATTCGAATGAACTATACAAATGATATAATTAATTGCATAATTTCTTTGTTTTATATTGCAATTTTTTTTTCTTAAATAGATGCTATTGCTGGTATATTTATTCGAGATATAGCTGAAGGAAGTTCATGTGCACGTGATGGTCGTTTAGCAATAGGTGATCAAATAATTGAAGTAAATGATCAATCACTTAATGGATTTTCTAATGTTCAAGCACTTTATTTATTACAAAATACAACTTCATCTGTACGACTGAAAATTCGACGTTATCTTGATGGTGTTAAATATGAAAAAATTAAAGAAATGATTTGTAATTATTTATGTTTTTATTGAAAAAAACAAATTGTTTTTTTTTATTTAATTATTTTAGTTCTTGAACCTTCAAATCAAGTTGAAGAAAAAATTGAATTTCAGAATCAAACAAATATAAATGAACAGATACGTGAAAAATGGATAAAAAGTTTAGGAAATAATTATGAAATTTTTATTATTGATATCTATAAACCTGATAATGGTAGTCTTGGAATAACACTTGAAGGTACAATTGATGTTGAAAATGGTGAAAAAATTGGAGCACATCACTATATTCGAACATTATTACCTGATGGAATTATTGGAATGGAAGGAACATTGACACCTGGTGATGAACTTTTAGAAGTAAACAAAGAAGAATTTTTTTTTTTTTTGATTTAATTTCTTTTTCTTGATTTAAGATTAATAATCAAATTTTATATGGAAAAAATCATATTCATGTTATTGAAATTCTCAAACGTGTTAAATACGACATAAAACTTGTATGTGCTCGTCGTATAATGAAACAATCAAATGAAACAAATTTTAAAGCAAAATCAAATCGTTCTCATTCAATAACATTTTGTAAAACAACTGAAATAGCTGTTAAAGCTAAAAGTATGGGAACATTAGATTCAACAAATAGTTCATTTTTACGAACAACTAAAACACGTTCATTAGAAGTTATTTCAAATCTAGCTTTATGGTCAACATCTGTTTTAAATATTGAATTAAATAAAGGTGACAATGGTTTAGGTTTTTCTGTACTTGATTATCAAGATCCATCAAATCCAAGTTATTCACCTGTTATTGTTATACGTGCATTAGTATCGGGTGGTGTTGCACAATTAGATGGAAGAATTATTCCTGGAGATCGTTTAGTAGCTGTTAATGATATTACATTTGAAAATATGAATTTAAATGAAGTTATTAAAATATTAAAATCAACACCAAAGGGACCAGTAAAACTTAGTATATCAAAACCATTACCATATCCAAAATTTAAGAATGAGAATGATGATAAAGCAGTAACTGATAGTGATCAAGATTTTAATAACAATCGACGTTTATCCCGTATTAGTAAAAGTAAAACAACTGCAGGAATAGTAAATAATCATAAGGTATGATGATGAATCATTTTGATGTTAAATAATCAATTTTATAATAATTATACATTTGAGCTGAAAAGATTATATAGGAATGCGTAAAATATTCTATGGAATTCTATTTTGATTATTCGATGACTTAATTGGATTTTTGATTAACTCCATATTATGATTGAGTGCTTATTTTTCTAGTAACTAAATTTTACGTATGATAATATCGTGATAAAATCAACGCTTAAATCTTAAGCTATCAATATAATCCTATCAAATATCTAATCATGATAGGAATAAATATTATTAGCAATCTATGTCATTTCAACAAGAGTCTATTCTTGTTTTCTAGTAAAATCAACAACATTCAAGAATGCATATTATTTTTCTTTGCAGAAAATAATTATGGTAAACACAAAAACGATAATAGCTATCTGCCACTCTGCTTATGTATACTCATCAAGTTTCATAAACAATCAAATATCTATTTACGTAGAACGTTCTATAATTGATAAAATCAATAAAATCGTTTTTTTTTTCTTCAACTATTATTGCTAGACTATATTCATTACATAACATCACACAGGAATACAATTTTTGTGCGTGTTACTACTGTGTGTTTTAATTAAATTCATGTTTGACTCTTGTGTCCATACGGAGATTAATATTATGATTAAAAACCTACTCGTATTCATAATATACATTCCATAGAGTAGGCATAATTTATAAATCAAAAAATATTTTTCTCTACGAATTCCTTAGAGATATGATTTGAAATATTATCAACACAATTAATTAAAAATTTGAAAACTTTCAATAAGTTAATTTTTACATTAACTCTTAAAATATTAAAATTCTCGTGTTTATTTTTTTTTAGCGTTCTATTTCCGGTCATCGTTCAGTAAATACTAAATCAGTTGTTTCACCTGGAATTGCTCTATCAGCACCAGCTATTCTTAGTAGACATGAATATATGGAAATTTTATTAAATAAAGAAAATATAATAGGAAAATCTGACCAACAAATATTCAATGATAATTGTCGTGAAACAATATCTAAAAAATCTTTATCATTTAAAAACATTGAAATTACATCTGAAAATGATCGTCAATCAAAAACCATTGAAGAACGTCATGATTTATTACCATTGAATAACTATCAAACAGATTTATCATTAATAAACAATCATATCAATCTACCTGAGTTTATTAATTTTCAGTCAGATCATCTTGTTCTTACACCACAATTAACTTCTCATCCATTGAATGATCGTTTACGGAATGCATCTACATTTGCAACAACTAAATTTAATCGACAATCAATGCTACCACAAACAACAACAGTTTGTACTGGTATTCATTCGCCTTCAAAACGTTCATTTCGATTAAGACATTCATATGATACAACTATGTATTATGAAAAACAACATCAACCAAAATATTCTAAACGATCAATAGTGAATAAATTTGACTCCATGTCATGTTTCAATGAAGTGAGTAGATTACTGCTTTTCTTTTTTTCTTTTTCAGCTTGTTCGTTTAAGCAAACGAATCTCATGGCCCAAAGGAATATAATTGACGAGAACGATAACGTACATATATCGAAGAATAAAATTTGATTATAGTAATTGTCCTAAAGGAAATACCAATAATTATGATGAGAGTTAACAGAGAAATACTGAATAGATAGAGAAAGACAACAACAAGAAGCCTCTTGAGAGTGCGCACTAAAAAAAGAAAAAAGACCAAAACGGCATGTTTTTTTTATGATATTTAAGTATAAAGCTTGCCGACAGAATAAATAAGTTTTGACTTATTAGATCTTTCAGTTTTATTGAAGACATTTTTTTTTGGTATTTATCATTGGTTGATAGATTACTTTTAATAAGGTATGTAAATATAATATTGAAAAGGGTATATCTCGATATCATATTACAAATCTAATTATATAAATGATGATGTTCTATCAAGAAATATTAGAAAAGTAATGTTGTTCTGTAGGTAAATTCCTTTCTTACTGCTCATTTAATAAAAAGCGACAAATTGACTTTTACTCATTGAAGTTGTCTAACAGAAAAAAACTACAAACGATGCAGTAAGTTTCATACATCAATTATTATTTTTTGATTAATGTCTTTTTTCTGTTTGTCATTATTCAAAGAAAATGCTCGTATTTCATATATAAAGATCAAGAAATATTTAAAAAAACGCTTGAGGCAAGAAAAATAGACATGGTGTGTGTCATTGGAGTAACATACCATCAGACAGATTGAAACCATTAGTTTTGTTGTCTATCATTATGTTACTAACTTGATCTTTACTCTATCATCTCAAACGTCTGTTGTTCGCCTACACATGCCTTACATGCGAGTGTTTGCATGCACAATTTTGCATCTTTATTCGTTTCTATATTTATTAAAAGTTATTGACCAATAAGATAACGAGAAACAGTCAAATTTCAATAATACATGACGAAAAGATCGTTAGCCTAATTATACAAACGTATAGTTCTTCTCTTTTTTTATATCCCTCTGGAGTGCGTCTGTTTACATTTAAGTTAATTATGATTAACATATTGAGCTTTATACACTTCTCTTCATTTACTTCGATGACAGATTAGTTGTTTATATCATCAACATGTTGACCTTCTACTTTGCAAAAGCAATGGCTATAATAATACCAATAAGATAAGCAAGTGACTGATTTATTTTGTTTATTTTAGCCTGATTTGAGTAGCGACGATAATAATAATTTAAGTAATTCATCTTCATCAAATCATCGACATTCGGCTAAAAATATAATTCATTCAAGACCAATTGTAGATGATGATCTAAGTGAAATTGACAACATGAATCAACAAGATGAACTTTTAAATAATGATATAATAACAACAACTCAAATATCGAAACGAAGTTCTTCATCACGACAATCATCTCAAATGGCATCACCTGCATTCTCAACTAGTTCTCAATCTTCTGGACGTGTTATTACATTACTTAATCATGAAGTTGTACAATTACCTATTGATCTAGAACGTGAAACATTGATTAAACATAATTTTGATCAACTTGGTAATAAAATAAGAAAGATAAATATATACATATATTGAAATTTTTATAAAAATTTTTCATATTTAGGTTTAACTGTTGATGCCTCTGTTGATGAAGGTGTTAATGGCTGTTACATACGTTCAATAGCATCGATTAACACTTGTTTACAAGCAGGAGATTTCATCGTATCAATTAATAATGAAAATATGAGAAAAATTAGCAATGCACAAGCACGTTCAATTATTCGACGTGCTTCACTTATTGGGTCAGATATTAGGTATATATATATATATATTGTGTGAAATCTTTTTCTTTTTATCATATTATCTTCGTTTAGTGTTATTTTCATTGCGGGCGAGGAAGCTAAGCAATATAAAGATCAAATAGTCGATTCACAATTAACACCATCTGAGTAAAATCAAACAAAAGAAGTCAAATTTTCATTTTTTTTTTGTGTATTTTAGAAATCTCGATTCAGATATTGAAGTAAATCAATTAAAAGCAATCACCATTAATGATGATGATAATGATAATGATTCACAAAATCTTCTTGATAATGAAAGTTTATGTTCAACTTTATGGGGACCACCTCGAACAGTTGTTCTTTATCGTGATGAACAAGTTAAAAGTTTAGGTATAAGTATTGTTGGTGGTAAATTAGATTTTTCTGGTCCTGGTAATACTATTGAATCATGTATATCAGGTATATTTGTAAAACATGTTATACCTGATTCAATAGCTGGACGTAAAAGTACATTAAAAACTGGTGATCGTATTCTTGAAGTCAATGGATATAATCTTCGTGATGCAACACATGATCATGCTGTTGAAATAATACGTTCAGCACAATCACCAATTTATTTTATTGTACAAAGTTTATTTGATCCATCAAGTCCTACATTTCATCCACAACAAATTGAAGAGAATCCAATAATTAAACAATATAAACATTTAAATGGAGATGTTTTATTAATTGATATAAAAAGAGATTTATCAGAAATAAACGAACCACTTGGTCTTTCTCTTATTGGACATCGTGATCCAAATCAATTAGCTGTTTTTGTTTGTGATATTCAACCAAATTCATTACTTGGTCGTGATAATCGTTTACGATTAGGTGATCAATTACTTCAAGTAAGTTTCTTAATGAAAAAATATTAATTGGATTTGTAATTTATTTTTCTTTTAGGTCAATGAAGAAATTCTTTTAGGAAAAGCTCATTCAATAGTAACATCAATTATTAAGTCAATTAAATTAGAAACATTGAATTTCGTAATACTTCGGTAAGAATTATTTATTTGATTAAATTCTATTTGTTTAATTCATTCATAGAAATCCTAATGCAATTAATGATATGGCATTAAGAAGTCCATATAGACCAATTCAACATCACGATATTAGTCATGTCAATGAACATAAAGAACATGATGATCGATTAACATCAACATCCGTTTTTCCGCTTAATAAACATCTATTTGATAATACAGAACATATGAAAAATAAGCATTCATCTAATCAAATCAAAACAACGAATGATATTGAAAATGAAAACATCAATAAGTTAACAAATAAAAATTCTTTTTATTCTCTTTCTTCTGATGTCAATAATATTTTACTCAATCAACAAAATATTGATTTTTTGCCAACATTATCATCAAACATATTAACAAATATAAACGACAATAAAAATCCTCAGATTATTTCAAATGCTCCTTTACCAATAATTAGTAAACAAACAGTAGAATATAATATAGAAATGAACGGATCATTTGTATCCCATATTCCTATGATGTCATCATCAAGTTCTTCTTCATCAATTTCAATTCCACCTCCAACATTAAGTCAGCCGTCTGATATTAAACCTGAACCTGTCATTAATAATATTAACCAAACAGAAAGTTTGTCAATATTAATTAAAAGTAAATACAATGAATAATTTTATGATTTAGATGACCCTCGTACAAGACCTATTGTTATTGGACAAGAAACATTAATTGAAATTGATCGTGGACAATCTGGCCTTGGACTTTCAGTCGTTGGTGGATCCGATACACAATTAGTAAATTGGCTATTTTCTTGTTTTTGAAGAAAATTTCTTCTTAAATTTTGAGATTCTTTAAGAGAAAGAGGCTCTATAACATCCTTCGTACGATCAGATTTAATACTATAGATTTTCGGAATCGGAGAACGATCAGCACAAATTCATAAGTACGGAAATAATAAGCACCGGAATGATCAGTACGGAAGCGATAAGTACGAGAAAACTTCAGGACCGAAATGTTAAGCACGCAAAACAAGTGATTCTAAATGGTATGGGTGTGTGCGGAGTGGAATGAACAGAAGATTAACAGCCACATCCATATTCTCGTACTTATCATTCCCGCACTTATCATTTCCGTGCTCATCGTTCCGGTTTCCACATATCCGCTGTCCGTATAATTTGCATGCTAGATATAAGCTATAAACAACAATAATTTTTGCTCATATTCCAATAAAATCATAAACTCTATCAAAGAACTCGTATTTAATCTTGATGATTATCATATCTTATTATTACGCATGAGTAGCATCAGTATTATTTATTTTTTATTTCATTTTTATATAGAATCTTTGAATAACTGTAAAACTTAGAACATGTTTTTCGTTTAGTCCGCGATTATTATTCATGATATTTATGAAGGTTGTGCTGCACAACGTGATGGTCGTTTACTTGTTGGTGACCAAATACTTGAGGTTTTTTTATATTATTGAATACGAATATGAATTTATAAGTTGTATCTAATAGGTTAATTCAATTGATTTACGTTCGGCAACACATGAAGTCGCTATTCAAGCATTACGACAAACAACAAGTATTATTCGTATGGTTATATTTCGTGGTGAAATGGTGAATGAAGAAAATAAATTTGATATAATAACAGTTGATTTTATTAAAAAATCAGGCAAAGGACTTGGTATAAATAAAATCACATGAAAACTATATAATTTTACTTTAATTTTTTTATTTATAGGATTTAGTATCATCGGAAGACGACATGGATATGGTGTATTTATATCTCATATTGTAAGCTTTTCTTTTCTTACGTTCATTATTATATTTGTGCTGTTTTTTGAATTAGATTGAAGGTGGTTCTGCAGAAAAAGATGGTCGACTTATGTCAGGAGATTTAATTCTTGAAGTAAATGGAAAAGATTTACGTACAGCTGCATATGAACAAGTTGCTTATACACTAAAGGTAGAATTTATTTTATAGCAAAAAATATATAATAATTTGTTTTTATTTATTTAGACACTTCCACATAGTCGTGTTTATATTAAAATAGGACGTTTAAAAGCAAATGCACGTGAAAATTTCGTTTCAAACGAACCTAAGACTCGATCACGCTCATCATCAACTAATAAAACAAATGATAGATAATACTTATACTTTCTATTTTCTTCAATAGTCATATACAAAATAATAATCTACTCTTTAACATATCTCTCTTTTCAATGTACTTGATAATTAAAAAAAATAAAAAGTTCAAAGTATACAATATGTCCTTTTTTTTCTCTTTGTCTTGTCGAGTTATACATGCTTCCAGCTTTTTCTAATTTGTTGTTTTTTTTTTTTCTTCGTGTTTTTTTTTATTTAAATAACTCTTCCATGTTAAAGAGGAAATCCTTATGTTTATTGCTCGGGTTTTGTAACTCTCCGGTTATTCTGTTTTTCTTTTTGTATAGCTTCTTTTTTCGTCGATAATACCGAATTAGAGTGGTGAAATAAGATGACACAATAAAAGAGAAATTTTATTGTAAATAATGTGTGTTGATGATCGATGTTATTTTATTTATCTTGATTTTTTTTTTTCATTGATATTGTGCCAAATTTTGTTTAATAAATATCATGCAAAAATCTTTGCTTTGATTTTTGCATGATTTTATCAGGAATAAAACATTGAAATGCTTTTCATATGGATATAACATTCATGATTTAGATTAATTCTGATATTTATTTTTATTCTAAAACTTATGAATATGGAAATCGATGTGTCAAATATGATTAATAAATGATGAAGATAGAAACTTGATTCTAACATTGGATATATCTTTGTGTTGAGTTTTAATAAAATTTATTATACTTTTTAACTTATATCTTCTTAAATTTTATCAAAATTTATACGGAGAATTTCTTTTTTTTTTTCGAAGTTTGATCTATTAATGTGAACATTGTTATGGGTCTTTTAGGCTGAAGTATATTTGTCTCCTTTTTTAGAGGAAGTAAATAGAGCGTTAAAATAGAAAAGAAAAAGAATAGTACGTTAATTTCTGATTTCTATACATAAGATTCATAGTTCATATTAGTAAAAATGTTGAATATGCTTATTATTTGGTTTTATTTTCAAAGAACATAAGAGAAAATCTCATATCATTTTTTATATTTTTCTGAATATTCCATCATTAAATAAAAAAAATAAATAAAACTGCATCTGAGAAATTTCTTATAAAAAGTTTCGAAATAATTGTAAAACAAAAATTACCATCATTTTTATTCGCCAAAAACCATCGTAGATAAAAGTGAAAACTTAATTGTAAAACAAAAAAAAAAAAGAATATCTAAATATCATATATCTTATTTCAATTAATATTAAATCAATCATACAAATTGGTTTTTATAATATATTCAATTCTTTTTATTCTCCACTATTGCTTAAATATCGTGATTATACTGCTTTGATTCTATTGAAAAGAGCGTAACAGAAGAAAAAGAATACATTGAGAACGGAAATATGTTTGTCACGCTATCATAATGGACTCAATATGTATATGCATAATTAACATACGACTAATGCGCACCAGCTAAAAATAATTATAAAAGATTATAGACTTTATTTAGTAATTTTGCACATCAGTGAATTACAGACTTATATAATATTCGCAATATCTTAAATTATAGTTCAAAGCTATATTTTTTTTCTCAACAACATAGAAAGTTTATTTTTAGAAATATTTTATTTAAGAAAAAATTTTATCAAAATAATATTTCTTACTAAACATTAATCTATAATTTAATTAACTTATTTTCTTAAGATATAAAAAATTTTATATTAAATAACTTTCTCGTTGAAGAATTTTAATTAGATTTAACAGAATAGTTTTAAGTATTCATTACAACTATTGATTTAAAGTCTTCAAAAAAAATTGTTTCTCTTCATTTGACAAAGATTATTTAGAGATTTTAATACACATGAAGATTATTCAAAACTTTCAAACAGTAAAATAACTTCAAATAGTTTCATGTTCTTAGGACCAAGGAAAATCTTATAATATTAACACATGTTACAAACTTGTTTTATAAATATAACTAAAATAATGAACATATCATGTAGCACTATTGTTAAACGTTCTAAATCTTTTACAATAGATATCTTTCAAAAACAATGTAAAAATGCGCCCACAAGAAAATAATGGAAATTATTTTATTTTCAAGTATCGAACAACTGAGTGTATTATGATGTATTTCACATATTCAATTTGACATGTCTTCACTAATGAGTATTTGAATGAATTATATGAAATATTTTTATATCAATTTGATATCTTTTATTTTATTTTTCGAAGTTCATTTATCTTTGTTGAACTTAAACTTTTCAATGCTAGTACTTCGCTTTAAAATTATTTATTTTTTCAAGTCAAATCCGAACTACTTATAATTCTAGCAAAATCATTGCTCTTCATATTTTTTTTTGACTTAGTTCATCTCTTTGATTCATTCATATGTCAGATAAAATCAATTATTATGCAATTGCATTTATTTGCTGGATGGCAATCGAGTTTCACTCGACTGCAAAATGGGTATGAAGCGACGAATGTCGATCATCAAAAAAAAATCATTATCTTATAAAAATTATTCGCACAACGCTTTTTTCACAAGATACTTTCATAGTTGACAACAACGAATTCATTTCCTGTCCCTCTTATTGTAAACTCGAATTATTCAGTTTCGGTCGATTTGCTCATCAAAACAGAAAAGAAATTAAAAAACAGATATGGCAAAATTCATCACTACGAGAACTCTGTCTACAGTACTCTTTCAATTGATCGGTTTCATTATCTATATGATTCATTATTTATGATCAGTTGTCCTTACAGTTGTGATGAACAAAATCAACTTATTAAATAGACTGGCGACTAACTTTTTATGTTGTATTTAGTTCAATCTCTTCAAAACTTAAACAACAATAAAGTTCACAAAAAAGAGTCGTTATGAAGTAAAATCACTCGTACCCTTTCATAAAAATTCAATTTTATCTTACCTGTTTTCCCATTTTGATTGTCAAAAGTCTTTGAGTAATAAAATCAGATCGTTAAATACATTCTGTACTACATACCAAGTGACTAGGCTAACTGAGATTTATCCATGTTGTATTTCTTCGGAAATACTAAGCTATAGAGTGTTTTATGAAAAATACTGCATACATTTGCTCATACATTCAGCTGACCTATATTTTAAAATTAAACTATTTCAGTTCTCTATTAAATGATGTACAAACATATCAGAGAAGATTATTTTTTGCCTTTTCGTATATTGGGATATAATTTACGTGGCATACCAGTAATAGATTTTTATGAACAATATCACTTAGTGCTCTTCTCCAACGGTAGCAGTCCACTTAAGATGTTTATCAATTGATAGGTCGGGTTAAGATCTACCAAAATGGTGCTAAGAAAGCCATGAAAAAAGAAGCGAAATAGTATGTCTCTTTTTTGCAATATTGAAAGCAGTTGTAGTTTGAATATCAATATGTACATCTTTAAATGATGTAATATAAATTTTTGTTGACTGAAACACAGAGATCGTCTCTGTATTGTAAATCAATTGATAGTTCTCACCAAAATCTCTCAATTGGTGACAAACAATTTATATAAAAAACGTGAGAACATACTTACTTTTTCAAATACTAAGAACAATGATTGGAGTGAAGTGATGATGATGTGAATCAATGTGTCTGTTATTGAAGAGATTATCCACACCGAAATCTGATAACGTAAGTTTTGTCTTTACACTTTAGAATGTATTCCGGGAAGAGTTTCTAAGTATTTTGTGACATATTTAAGGGGACATAAAAGTGCGACACGAAGTGCTTGTTCTGATACATTTCTCTCAGAGAACCTACAACACACTCTGAAAACGTGATTCGAATCTAATATTTAGAACGTCTGTTGTTTTTTTCTGGAAAATCGAGTTATTTAGGACAATTCGACAGTAGTGTCAGTGACGCTAACATTGTATAATAGTGTTTACGAAACTTTGTTTTTACATGCAGACATAGTATACACAATGCTCTGTTGTACTGTAGCATTTCATCATTCTTCAACTAACACCATAATAATATAATTTCGATAAAATCTGTTTTTCCATCATATGTGACAGTTAAAACAATACTATTTTTTAAAAAAGAAAGACAAGTGAGTATTTTTGAAATAACTTTGATTGAAACAATATAGAAAACTGCGGTTTTTATCGTTCGAAAGAGGAGATAAATATGCATTGAATCGTTTATTGAGGGAATTTTTGAATTGCTTTTTTAAAGTTTTCAATCGATCTGTTCGAAAACAAACCAGAACCTTGAGATGTTCACAATGAATATTCCATTGTCAAATGTGTATTGAAATCGTCAATAGAAGATCTACAAAACTGCTCAAGGCTCACATGTTTAGAATTAATCATTCAGGAGTTATAGATATTCTAGTCAAAACTCTAAGTGGTTTTTCTAGCGATTTCTGTGCCAAAAAAATTTCTTTTATTGTCTCCTTTTTGGATGAAAAGCCGATTTTTACGACACGTAGAAAGTTGATTCGGTAAACTTTAGATAACATAATAGGAAAATCTATAATGTATAATTCGATGCATCTTCATGTCTTTTTTTCGGGCGGTGAAGATCGCAGCGTTCCATCTTGTTGTTATCAAAAGTTATTCAAAAAATGTTCACTTGTCTTTTTTTAAAATACGTATTAGTATAACCGTCACATATCATAGAAACCCAAGTTTTATCGAAATTTTATTATTATGACATGAGTTGAAGAATGATGAAATGCCACAGAAAAAGGAGCATTCTTTGTATTATTCCTGCATATGAAAAGAGAGTTTTCTAAAGATTACTATACGTTATTAAAGTGCAACTCTTATTAATTTTCAACTACCTTAAGTAAAAGTTTCGTAGGAAAAATAATTCTCCACAAATCCATGCTGTTAAAGCAATTTTAACTTTTGTTAATACATGAATAAGAGAGTACAAGAGCATCTATCTGCTTATTTTCTGACTTTCTGCCCTCGAGATTATCGCTAGAGCAAACGACAACTTTCCATACGTATGACTAGTAAATAATAAAGAGAAAGAAAACTCACACGACTAAATTAACGCGGTGTGAAGCGGT